CAAGAACAATAAGAAATCGGGCTTGTGGTTTAGTGGTATAAAACCTCTCTCACTGGGACATGACATTCATTGTGAATGCTGCTTGAGAAATGGTGAACTCGGAATCCGTAATCAGGGTCTATGTTTATACCATTTTGGCGATACTCAATCCCGAAAACCGTATTTTGAAATACAGTATTTTATGAAATCTGATGCTGGGATTCCGTTATGTCAACACAAGGATTAATCCATGCTAAAATGAAAACGGGAGTTCGTATACAGGCATTCGAATCCGCAGCAAGGCAGATTTTCACTGCCAAGCTGAAAAAGGAAGTTGATAAACCGTCATTAGGCAGTTTTTCCAGCCGAGCTGAAAAATAGGGTTTCATAATCAAAGCCTAGCCTTAATTCATAGGGTAGAAGACGACCTGATACTTTTTTGTAGATAGTTGACAGGTACCTACTGGGCTGTAATCCCAAGGACAAATCTGGATGTGCATCGATAGCACCTCAGTCATATGGGGTATGCGCGGAAGAGCCCCTGAATCCTCTCAGTAGGCTTATCATAAGTGCCATCAAGCGATGCGTCACTACAACATCGGGATCAAATGGTCCCCCGGGCACACCGAGATCGAAGGCAACGAAGCAGCAGATCGCTTAGATAATCTAGGAATATCGGGCTCAATAGATACTGGCCTATCAGCGTTGCCGACGGTAAGTAGCACCCGATCTGATCAAAGCTAGGTGTCGATATACAGAGACGTTCTGGTGGGCTTCAGCGAGCAATATGATCTCCCCAGGATATAAGATGTGGAGATCGGTGTACAAGGTTACTGAACCACTCACTCTTCAGCGTCCACGCGGGACACTTTATAAGCTTTTAGCAATGCGAACTGGCTATGGTGACTTTGCAGCTTATCATATCGGGTTTAACCACAAGAACAGCCACAACGAATGCTCATGCGGCAGTGACAAGATCCCTTTTCACTTCTTCCAATATCCAATCAATAACGAATCGCGAGCCGACTGGCCTCTCGCACCTAATCGGCTCCGCTCCGAACGCGGTGCGATCGAATATATCAATCGCCTCCTGCGCACACAAGACAGTTTCACAAAGCTCCTCTCCGGAACTGGGTTTTTCATTCAGATCTGTACTAACTTCGCCTAAAAAGAGACGAAGACAAACCGCTCACCCAACATGAAGAAGAGCACTTCATCTCTAACATCAAGCCGAACCGACCACCACCCATCGATCTCCCGGTCCATAGCGATTACTCTCGTCACTCATCGCCCCTCAAATGACTACTCACCGGCCTCAAAGAGGCCCCTCTCAGAAACCGATCAGACGCCCTATCGAGCGAATCGACCCGGAGCGTAGCCGAAGAGGGGAGCAACACCCCAGAAGGAAAAATTGCTAAAATACTATGAGCGGCAAAAGCGCATGCGCTCTGTAGGCCCGATCCTTAGTACTTCTAGAATACCTGTTGCGATACAAGTGAATATGCACACGTGACTGCGCGCTAGCGCACGAGCGTATTGCATATAAGCTCTCATAGCTATGAACCTAGAAGAGACAGACAGAATACAATATGATGAACTAGACCTATTATGCATAATCACCACCGAGGTGATACCAACAATACCTTTAGGGAGGTTATAGATTAGACGTTAATTACTATAAATAGACAAAATAAATAAATATTGGGTTGTAATTACCAATCCCTGGAAAGATAAAATGAGATATTTGACCAATAAAAGGCTTCTAGAAAACACCTGCGGTATCAAACAAATGCTCATTATTGGATACTAAATTAAACAGCTCGTTGTCAATTGATTGCGGCTTGTTTATGATTTGTATATAGCTCATTGGGATAGAACTCAGACTAATTGTCATTGCACAAATCGTCCATTGAGCGTTCAGAGTTCGAATTGTTCTTTCATAAATTCGAAGTATCAAATCTATAGTCGTTCACCTAACTCACTCCTCTGTCCAAATCGAGGTCTTAGAACTTCTCTCTTTCTCCTATTGTTAGCATTCTATAAGCTATCACACAGATTTTAAAAATAGTATTCTACAACATATAACAGAAAACCTGGCTTTCCTTCGACCTATAGTGTATAAGTCATTTGTAGAGCAATATAGTTTCTTCTTGCCTAGCCCGTTGGGCTAGATCATTTATTCATGCATATAGAATGTAGTTGTCCCCATCTACAAGTGTCTTTCACATGTAGATTCTAAGTCATATAAGCTCTTCCTCAAATATTATTTGCTAAGCGAATATTTGAGGAAGAGCGTCTTGTGACCAAAATAATATGTGACTCTCATCTGTGATGAATCGTCACATGATTCTTAGTACGATACTCCAGGTTTAATGGTCTAACTGAATATTGTATAAATTAAAATGTATATCTTTGATAGCCTTAGCACCATCTGGTGTAGGACTCAAAAAATGTTATGATCGCCATAGCTTACTTCCAGCTTCTACTGAAACGCATATCGAAAACTCTGCGTTTAGCCGATAGATTATACCTTCTGTAGTCAGAGCATAAATTCAGGAACTCCTATTAAGTGCTCGACGGTATCTCTCTATGGCTACAATCATCTTGTCTTGATCTTTACAAATAAAGTACATGGATTATAAATAATACCAATTATCGATATACTCTCAAACAGACTCTGAAAATTAAGAAGAGATTAGAACGTGGAAAAGGAAGATACTAAGAAGTTTTGAGTTTACTTCCAAGCATTTAACATGTCTACAATCTTATAAAATCCATGCCGTTTAGAAACCAAAAGCGCTATATCGCTGTCGGTATCTATAAAGGTCGGATCTGCCCCAGTGTTTAACAAGAGCCTTACAATCTCTTTATATCCTTTTGCAGCTGTATAGAAGATAGGTGATCATTCAGAAACGCTAGTGGCATTGATATTAACGGATTTCGTCCCAAGGAGTAATCGGACTACCTCGATATAACCATTCGTAGCAGCAATACATAGAGGTGTCACCTTCCTAGGGTTTGGAAGGTCCGGTTCAACCCCTCGCTCTAACAAGCTTTGAATTTTCCTTTTATTCCCAAGTTTAACTGATTTATAGAATTGAGTAATCACAAACCACTTTTCCTGAGATGATAGTATTATTAGATGTATACTAATAATATATAGAACTAGTTCTTGTCCACTTGTAGCGGCGGTCTTAATTATCTCTTCTATAATTACTACTTTTGTCTTTATTGCTTAAGCAAAAGCTTCATTACTTCTTTTCCTTTCTATCTATTCCTTACTACTTCTTTCATTATCTTTTTCATAATTAATACTTTTATCCCTTATTTCTCAAATAAAAGCTTTATCACCTTTCTTTTATTCTCTTTATTCTCTATTATTGCTTTCACTATCTCTTTTATAATTAACACTTTTACCCCTTGTTTTTTAAGTAAAAGCTTTATCAATTCTATTCTATTTTTTCTATTTCTTATTACTACTTTCACCACCTCTTCTATAATTAATATTTCTATTTCTTGTTTTTCAAGTAAAAGCTTTATCAACTCTTTTCCTTTTATCTATTCCTTATTACTTCTTTTATTATCTCTTTTATAATTACTACTTCTACTCCTCGTTTCTCAAACAAAAGCTTTATTATCTCTATTCTACTCTCTTTATTCCTTACTATTACTTTTATTATCTTTTTTATAATTACTACTTTTATTTTTCGTTTTTCAAATAAAACCATTATTATCTTTATTCCAAATCAACTCGCTATTAGCTTTACTATTTCTTCTATGATTAATACTTTTATTCCTTATTTTTCAAGTAAAAGCTTTATTCACTCTATTTTATTAATCTAATTTTTTATTACTACTTTCATTATTTCTTCTATAATTATTACTTCTACTTTTCGTTACTCAAGTAAAAGTATTATTATCTTTATTTTATTTCTTTTATTCTCTACTACTACTTTCATAACCTCTTCTATAATTACTATTTCTATTCCTTATTTTTCAAATAAAAGCTTTATTATCTCTATTCTATTTCTTTTATTCCTTATTACTACTTTCACTACCTCTTTCGTAATTACTACTTCTACCCCTCATTTCTCAAATAAAATCATTATTACCTTCATTCCAAATCAACTCGTCATTAGCTTTACTATCTCTTCTGTAATTGATACTTCTGCCCCTTATTTCTTAAGTAAAAGCTTTATCACCTTTATTCCATTAATTTAATTCTTTACTACCACTTTCATTATTTCTTCTATAATTACTATTTCTATTCCTTATTACTCAAATAAAAGCTTTATTATCTTTATTTCACTTCCCTTATTCTTTATTACTGCTTTCATCATTTCTTCTATAATTATTACTTCTGCCCCTTATTTTTTAAATAAAACTATTATTACCTCTTCTTCAAACTAACTAACTATTCGCTTCATTATTTCTTCTATAATTACTATTTTTACCCCTTATTGCTCAAGTAAAAGTATTATCACTTCTTTTCCTTTTTATTTATTCCTTATTACTACTTTCATTATCTCTTCTATAATAACTATTTCTGTCTTTTATTTCTCAAGCAAAAGCTTTATTACCTCTATTCCAAATCGACTTATTATTAACTTCACTACCTCTTTTGTAATTAATACTTTTACTCCTTATTTTTCAAGCAAAACTATTATTACCTTTATTCCAAATCAACTTGCTATTAACTCCACCACCTCTTCCATGATTACTATTTTTGTTTTTTATTTTTTAAATAAAAGCTTTATTATCTCTATTCCACTAATTTAATTCCTTATTATTACTTTTATTACCTTTTCTGTAATTATTACTTTTACCCCTTGTTTTTCAAATAAAAGCTTTATCAATTCTATTCTATTCCCCTTATTCTCTACTATTACTTTCATTACCTCTTCTATGATTACTATTTCTACCCTTTATTTCTCAAGTAAAAACTTTATCAATTTTATTTCATTCCCTCTATTCCCTACTACTATTTTTACAATTTCTTTTATGATTACTACTTCTGCCCTTTATTTCTTAAGTAAAAGTATTATCATCTCTTTTTCATTCCTTTTATTCCTTGCTGCTACTTTCACTACCTCTTTCGTAATTACTACTCTTTTAGAGTATATCGAATTCAGCAATCCTTGAAATACATGCAATCTCTGACTAGCAGCTGAAGTAACATAATTATCCCCTAACTCTTCTATTAAACTGTTCGGGATCATACTTGTAAGGATCTTTACCAGCCATTCCTTATCAATAATAATTGCAATAGTCCAGATCGATATTGGTATCCTTTCATTTTGTAATCTATAATTTCTATCTCTTTTCACCTACGACCTTTGTCCTTTATTATTCAAAATAGACCTTATTTGCACTATGTTATCTTACGCTTCTTCTAACGTATTGATATGTTCATACCAAAAATTCGCGGCGTAAGACAAGAGGTATGCTTCATCTTTTAGTATTAAGAGACCAATCTTGATAATGTCCTCTAACTTCAGATAAGATATACAGGTATTGGCGAGGAGCATCTCTGGTCGTTCAAATTGTTTTAATATCTCTGCTTTTTCCAATATGCCTGAGCTCTTCAGAAAATCACGTAATGTTTAATGAATGAAAAAAGGGTTCGAGCCAATAACATCTATCAAGCTACCTAGATTCGTTTGAATGACTTTAGAGTTCAAAGTTATTCTTTTTCTCTTGCAATCTTCTAAACTTCTTGCGCCTTTCGTCATGCCAACAGCGAGAGCATCTTCCAATTCCCGCAGATGAAGTGGACGTGCCGCATATGTTATCCAGGCTAATATTACCCCGTATTTTTGGTTCGTTAACAATTTCTGAACAAGATTAGTATATAACGCATCGAGCTCTAATGGAAGCTGTTCGATTGTGTTCTCGATATCTTCCAAAGATGGCGAGGTAAGATTTCGAAGTTCGCGAAGAAGTATACTTATCCAAAGGAATGTTCTTTCCTCTACTTGTGCAGCCTTGGTGATTATTTCCTTCATATCACTTGTAAACCCTTCGTTTTCTTCGAATAAGGACAACTCAGAGTTGATGAAGAGGGATAAGTCCTCTTTAGAAGTACAAAGGGTCCTCCTGATTGGCAATTTAATCTTCATCACATTACTTTCTGGCCTGCTGGTGCAAAGTAATTTCAAAAGTGGCTTTTCGGTACGAGTTGGTGTGAAGAGCTCTTTCAATCGATCAAGAAGCTCCCCCATTTCTGTGCCGTAAACATCTAATCCATCAAGAACAAAATAAATGCGACCATATATATCTGTTTTTATCAAATCAAGGAAGACCTTCCAGAGGCCATCGAGGGATTCGGTAAAGAACTTTTCCTTTTCGTCCTTATTTTGAAAGCGATTTGGAAGCTTCTGGTATAATCGCTGATCCTCACAAAGTTGAATAATAAAAGATCGAAGAACAGATGATGCGGTTCGAGAACTTTCTTCATTCTTGATATTGCAAAAGTAATAGATAATCTTTTCGCGAGGCTTTTGTCGCTGCTTCAAATGATCTATAACGAAGTTGGATAGAACAGACTTTCCCTGCCCAGGAGTTCCAGTGATCAGCAAGACGCATGATTGATCAGAGTCTCGCCATTGGATAAAGTTGCTTTTTTGAAGTCTGTCGGGATGGTCTTGGGACTCTGAGGGCTGGTCAGTGACCAACCATTGCAGAGTTCCCTCGACCGCCGTTCGCACTTTCTTGGTTTCTTTGAAATTTCCATAATGGGGCACATTCAGATCGTCCCAATGGCGCTTTTCAGCTGAGGAGAGTTCTTTGGATAATTAGACTTGTCATTCTAATTGTATATAGATTAGGCACTACGCACTTTTGATTGAAGCAAACTTTGCTTCAATAATATTAGGCGCTTCATCGACAAGACCTTTCAACGCACCGAGTACCTTTGTATAATCATCATCAGACTGATCAGCAAATTTGACCAGATCTGAGTGATCTCTAACAAGTCCCTCTTCGTAGCAAAAGTTGTTATTGATGCCGATATCACAAGCCGAACTCTCCGAAACCATATAGCAAAGCGGCCCATCCTTTACCAATGATCCATTCTCCAACTATAAAAAGATATCAGTGATGGTTTTGTATTAAATGAAAATTTGAATATACCTTTCTAACCATCTGGGTCTTCCTCAACTCGTAGTAAGATCGTATCTGAAATTGTCCTTCCTTGCAGCATTGCTTGAAATTCTGTTTGATCGTACTTAAGAACTGAGTTGGTCCATGGTCCTCGTCGCGCACTTGGAGATCCTTGATCATTTGTTCGTTGAGTCCTCCAGCCACAATCTGTACAAGGGATTTGTTGTTAAGCCCCAAGTTAGGAACCCCAAAGAACATTAAGCCGTAAGACGATTTGAAGAAATCAATATTTTCGGGATTCTCACTACCAATCATAGCTATATATAATGCCTGAAGCACGACTATTAGTTTGCAAAACTTCAATGAGAAATAGAGGAGACGGACCTCCTTCACTAACAGACCTCCAAGGCTATGAGCTACAAAAATGAGGGGTCTTTGGCTCGCCTACAAAATCATCATTAGCATATAAAGATGTCTGAATGTAATTGTGATTATGACCTTAGTGGCTGAGCGAAATGCTCTGACCGAACTGAGAAATGCTTTTGCTAAATCAGGAATAGAATGTTTTGCATTTTTATCCAGAATTGATGTATCGTATCCATAAGCCAGGATTCGAGCAGATGGTAAATCTTTAGGAAGAAACTCGCGAATCCAGACACTATTCTTTCCTTTGAACGAACCGATCGGATGGCTACCCAGACCTGGGACGAAAACGATGCTGTCATATATTAATCATTATTGTTCCTGAAACCAATTATACTTGACTTACTCTACAAACGGTTCATCGCCTTCAAAGAGTGGTGTAACTCCGAGGAAATCATGATCAATAGTATAAGGCAAGTTCGGGGTTTCGAACGAATTTAGCGTTGCCATCAGTCTGGTAGAAGATGAACGTGCAAGAGTGATAGAGCAACCAGACCCATATGTTGGCAGGCATTTCATTAGCTCTTCTTCCAAAGATTCTTTCGTTGTTCCGATCGGTACCCCTCGGATACGAAAACATTTGAGCTTTTTAGGCAGTGGATTCATCTTTGTGGTCTTTGTGGGTTCTATGACCTTTGTAGTTTTCGCCGTTGGAGCCATTGTAAACGCGAAATAAGCAATGGTAACGATGACAACAGCCATTGCATATAAGAGCTCTTTGGTTGGCTTGATATCCATTATTGTGAGTTGGAGTTTTGATAAGAAGGTTGTTAATTGCATGAATTCGTGAAGGAATTAATGAACGATTGATTGCACACATCGATGAGGGAGTAGGCTTATTTTAATAGAATTATTTGCAATCCCATAGGTCTGGTTTTAACATGCTTTATCATTATGGTGATGGGGTCGTAGAGACAATTGGCTGCGGGTAAACATATCAATTTATCCTTCAGAGCGTCTGCGGCTGAGCAGAAATTGGTTGGGTGTGAAGGGACAATCTTGTCATGTATGTTGCGCTGGTGGGAATATAGCCTTACTATGCATACAAAATTTCAGCTGGGGCTCTTCCATGGCGGTTGTGTGTGCCGTGTGTTACAGCGAGTGGGGTTTCCAGTCCTCCCTCTTCTTGCAATCGCTCTGGAATTTTATGTGAATAATGTAACAATCCAAAGCAATCTACTGTCTCCTTTTATGATCATCTGTATCTTCCCAATCGGACATTCCTCAACAGTTTCAATGCAAAAACCACCATTTGCGAAAGCTGATCAACTTAATGATGAGCTTGACAGTTTAGCAGATCCCGCAGCGCCCGCAACATCACCAATACGTTTACCAGGCCAACCACGCATTCATTTGGACCAGCACACAAAGGTCGATGGTTTTCTCAAGCAAGAGTTTCTTTTGAAGGACCTGGATGAAATCTCTCCATATCTATGGATGATGTCAAAGCATGACAGTAGAAGCATCTCTCCACTACATCGTCAAAAGGTTAAAGGTCGCGATATCGTTATCACTGAAGATCCACGATTGCATTTAGTCTGGTATCACGACCGCATCTTTATCAAACCACTTCCAAAATACCTTTTATCCCACTATTTTTGGAAAACATATCTTTGCGTCGATCGCCACTCGTCGCCAGAACAGATAACTCTTCAAAGAGCAGTTTTAGGGTATCTCAGGACATACATTCATCTCATCAAATATGAATCGGATTTTCGCATAGCTACCGACGATAAACTTCAGTTAATCCCTTCTGGTATTACATTTCTAAAATTCTGCGATTTCATTGCACCTTTGGAAAACCTTCTTGATGTCGATGTTGCTGGACGGTATGCCTACGGTGAAATCCGGCTTACGAGACTCAATCTCTATTCGAAAATCTTCCTCAGGAAGTTCAGCTTTCATCGTGTTCGTGCGCAATACTCTGATTATTTTGCTTCATTCTATGGGCCTTTACTTTTCGTATTTGCGATACTTTCAGTGGTGCTAGGTGCGATGCAAGTTTCTATGTCCATTGACTTTGATGTAACTAAGCAGTGGAAATCTTTTGAGCAATTTTGCCAATGGTTTAGTGTCATTTGTCTTTTTGTGGTAGCAATTTTGGTTCTTTGGCTTGGGTTTTTATTCTTGTATAAATTCATCAAGGAATGGGTTCATGCCATCGCTGAACATCAGAGAAGGAAAGACTGCTCTAAAAACTGTTCTAAAGTCTAACTAAGCAGATGGACCTTTTGAGCAAGGCATTAACAATTCTGAAAGAATCTCGGTTCGTGGATTCGTTGATAGGTGCAACGACTCCGATATACTGAGTATGAGGGGTGAAGTGGTATCGTGTCGAGGAAGCATGGATGTAGGGGCGAGGCATATAAGTACGTACACAGCATTCAAGATACCGACCCAAAACCATAGCATCCGTAAAACTCGATCGTCTTCTTCGCATTCTTAAACTTAGATAATGCAAGCTGATATAGAATGTCCCCTATTTCTATTAACGCTAGTGATTTCTCTAAGCTCCATAATATTTCTTGCATGCCGGACGAGGAATTGGAGAGATGCTGCCAATGGGCGGGAATAATACACAGATATCCATAGGATATCCACCAGGCTACATGGGATAGATACATCATCTTTACCTACTACCAATGAGGACTAGATTTTGGAATTGTCTACCCATGATCTTCATTAGTAAATATAATAGCTTATATCTAAGTACAACGGTTTAAACCATTCAATACAGCAGCTTTGGTTGCGGTTTCATACATACTCGAAGGCGTGGCAATTCTACTATCCGTTTCCGATGACACTAATTTTACATCCTCTTTCGAATCATCTCCCTTCCCAGTTTGTTCTCGATATTGAAAGTTGCTCAGTATATTCTTCGTAGTTGTAGAAACAGGTACCAACAGTTTTTCTGCTAATGGTTTCGCGGGAACTTTAGGCTTTTGTTGTGGGTTCTGGTAATTCTTATTCTTCTGCCATGGCTGTCGAGGTGGTTTAGACTAGACTTCAAGTAGGAATTCGATAAGGTTGTAACTGGTTGCAATTCTCGTAACTATAGTATAAAACTAATGATTCATCATGAGTACGAAGCTCTACATTGTAATGAGACGGATTTCCTTATATAAATCTTCGTTCCCTGCGCATCGACAAGTCGATTACCGCAAAGCCGACTTCGAAAAGTCGGTTTCCTCACCACGTGGCACTATTCCTGTGATTCACAGTTACCCTTTGTAGCAGTTTCCCTTTACTCATATTTCTATCCAAGTGGAAGACTTAGAACCTTACCGTATAGATCTTAAAAACCGTGTTCTACAACATGGGAATTTGAAACATGTTCTGTAATTGGTTGGAATTACAACGAGAAAATTTCATAGAATGTGCATCAAGTAGTGACCTATCCTACCCCTCTATCTGTACCACACCAGTCAATATTATGTTTGTCTCTTACTTTTAAACCTTCGATTTTGATAACTATTGGCTCAAAACCATATCAACTGAAAGTATTCTTTGTGGTATTAAAACTGTTATGTAACTATACTAGAATGTACTAGAATCTAAGTGGCAAATGAAAAGTCTATATACTCACAGACTTCCCCCAATCTCTCTATTAAAGAAAGGGGGAAAAAAGAAAGGGAAAAAGAAGAAGGAATATTATATTATAGATAATAATGATATAGTAATTATTAGATACTTTATACTAACGCTTGTTTTAATCTAAAGGATGTGGAACCTCTATACTTAAACCTCAAGATAAAAACGCTACCGGAGGGAAGTCCTATGACTATAGTTCCCTTATAAAAAGATATACTAGATGGCCGATAGTCCGGAGGTAGCCAAATCGTATTTCGCATTTCTCTATCTACTTTTTCGGCTATCCAATTGTTTGATATAGAGTAGCGTTCAAAGGCTGAGGATGCCTCTAGGCCCGAATGACCTTTAAGTGTTTAAAGGGATTCGCCTATTGTTATATCCCAAAGCCGGATTATATTATCATTAAAGTCAAAAGCTATTATTTTATTATTTAGCAAAAAGACAATCAAACTAATTTATTCTAAATAATTCTCGAATATTTGAAAGGATTTGCCTATTGCTATATTCTAAAACCAGATTACATTATCACTAAAGCCAAAAGCTATTATTTTATTATCTAGCGAAAAAGCAACTAAGCTAATCGAATATAAATAGTTTTTAAGTGTATGAAAAGATTTGTTTATTATTATATTCCAAAGCCGGATTATTTTATTATCAAAGTCAAAAGCTATTACTTTATTATCCGGTGAAAAGACAACCGATAAAACTGAATACAAATAATCCTCAAATATATAAAGGGATTCGCCTATTACTATATCCCAAAGCCGAATCGTTTTATCACGAGAACCAGAAGCTATCACTTTATTATTTAGCGAAAAGGCAACTGAGGTAATTAAATACAAATAGCCCTTAAGTGTTTGAAGAGATTCGCCTGTTATTATATTCCAAAGCCAAATCGTTTTATTGCAAAAGCCAAAAACTATTACTTTATTATTTAATGAAAAGGCAATTGAGATAACCAAATACAAATAATTCTCGAGTATTTAAAAAGATTCACTTATTGTTATATCCCAAAGCCGAATCGTTTCATTATCAGAGCCGGAAGTTATCATTTTATTATCCAGCGAAAAGACAATCGATAAAACCGAATTCGAATAACCCTTAAATGTTTGAAGGGATTCGCCTGTTGCTATATCCCAAAGCCGGATTGTTTTATCGCTAGAGCCGGAAGCTACTATTATACCATCCGGCGAAAAGGCAACCGACGAAACCCAATCCGAATGGCCCTCAAGTGTTTGAAGAGCGGCACTCCAATTTGATTGTGTTCTTGATATTTTATAGATCCAATTGGGGATACAGTCTTGAAATGTTTTTCGAATGATGCTCTCCTCAGGAGCAAAGACAAGAGCTGAGCAATAGATTTGGAGAGGAGCTTGTTCAATTCCTATTCGGTTGTGAAGGACGAAGCGTTTGGCGTCGTGGGTAAAAGCGAAAAGTTCAGGAGCTTTTTCAACCTTGGCGTTCATCAGTAGAATTCCTTTTTCCAAGCTATTTTAACTCACCAAGATACAAGATTCAAAACTATTTATTGCAGTAATACATTCTGAAATTTTCCCCATCAAGCTCATAGCCTCCAGCCAGTGAAGGAAGTGTACTTTTAGGAATTCATGAACCTTATCGTTATCTTGAAGTTGTTCTCTTTGTTGTTTAGGATGAGTGTTATTTAAATGATTGACCCAATAAATGCAGGAATACTTCATGGGAGATATTGGATCGAGATCAGGTTGCTTAATTTGATCGATCGATGTTCCAGGAGCCTTTAGCCTATAGATATCGCATCGCAGTGCTTCGGACATAACTTGTAGTGATCGTGAGAACATCGCGTAGTGGTATGTCTCACTTCCATTAGGAAAGAACTTATCATTTGCATCTTCGAATAAATAGTCCTTTGCGGATTGATGTATAAAGAAGACTGTATCTTCTCGAATTATAAGGAAAGATCCACAATTAGAGACAATTTTTGAAATATCCCGAATATTCTTAGGAATTCGCTTAGGCAGGCTAGACAGCAACCCCAACTCAAGAAGGTGAAGTGGGCGATACGCAAGGATCATCGTAGAAAGAACACAGTAACAAAAATGAGGATCATTTCGTTGTAGTTGATCTATTTGTTGTATCATTCGATTATAGAGTGGTTTTAAGCCTGACGGTATTTCGCGAAGCACATCGAGGACGTCCCAGCTATTAACCTGCTCGAGCTCCGCTAGGACAAGAGCTGCCCAAAGAAACGTTCCAGTAGCCTTGGTGTAAATTTGTTCTCGTACACTCTCTTGTAGCACTTTATCGTCACCAATAAGTGGAAGTTGAGATACTCTGAAATTAATAAATATCTCGACAGAACGAGAAACATACTTTTCGTTCAGCTCAAGGCTGAGCCATTTTTGTGTATTATCAGGTCTCAAACGTGCCTCAATATCGGGCTTGTTGCGGCTCGATACAATCCATTTAATGTAAGGAAATCTAGAGATACTTTGAGTAATTAAATGTAGTAGTGGTAAAAGGTCGGTTTCGCACTCGTCAAGTGCATCAACGAATAAGTAAGTACCGCTTTGACATACTGAGTCTTCTAAAAGACTTTCAAATACCTTCGACAAAGCTACCCAAGCATTAACGCCCTCGAAAGGGTTCTTGATCCCTTCGTCATACTTCTTCTGAATATATGAAAGAAGCGATGGCTGTTGATTGACAAGCAGGTAGATCAGGCCACGGATTACAGATGTCGCGTTATTCAGGCGTGGATCAGTGGCCTGGCAGAAGAAGTACGACAACAACGCGGTCGGATCTTTTTCTTTGTTTATCTCATCGATAATACCGCAGAGGAGCATCGTTTTACCTTTGCCAGGATCACCTTTAATCCAGAGTAATGGTTTCCGGCTGTCGCTACGCCATTGTTGGAAGTCGGGATTTTCAAGTATCCAGCAGTATGAGTCCTTCAGCAGACCACCCTTCGCCTGCTCAATACGTATCTTGTCCTCGCGGGGATCAGTCGTCGATAAACCTTTGAGATACTTTCGGGTTTGGGAGTCGGTTTGCTGGCTTGAGATATTATCTTACAAAAAGAGTTAGTTGGATAAAGTACTTGTCAATTTTTATAATAATTTAGAAAACAAAAACAAAGATATAAAGCATACTGTAGTTATTGATAACTTGTTTGAGTGGGTTGCCTAGTCCATGTATGTCAAATCCAAACATAGTTTTGTATCATGCTACTTCTTACTGCCAAAATATGCATCCCCATTAATTTTATTGTGAAAGAGATCCCCAGTCCCAGCATGCATAGCTCCTCCACCAGTGTTGGCATTATTGTTACCACTGCCATTGTGGTTCTGGGTGACACTTCCAATCTCTTCCTGAAGAGAGGAGGGCATTTCCTTCATCTCTTTGATTCCCTCTTCGAGCCCCTTTACTTGCACTTCAGTAGCAATTCCCACCAGCTTCTCGCATGCAAGCAATTGGGTATCTTTGAGTATCCCTTCCATCAAAGACTCTACTTTTTCCCCTTTCCGCAATGTACTCAAAGCCTTTTTGTATCGATCGAACCATTTATCGTCATCTTTTCGAACCACTTTATGGAATATTTTGTTGAGGTCATCAGCCTTTGCCTTGCATGACTCTAGAATGAGCTCTATCGCATCTAGCGCCGGTTCATCGAGCGATGATACTCTCTCTTCAGCACATCGAAGAATCTCAATAACAAGTGGCAGTCGTGCAGCCACTTGGCGGAATGCTTCCGGCTGGCCTTTCACGTTTCCAGCGGCATCATATACCGTTTTGGCTGCCTCAATGATTAATATCACGCCCGAAATGAGGCCAATGATAAAGCCAGCCTCAGCGCCGGACATGATGGGCGGGCGGTGGGCGATAATTTATGAGCTTGTCTCAAAAAATCGATACGCTAAAGTAGCTTGTGAATTATTAACAGAACGAAAAAATGCGGGGTTTGAACTTACTTGACTAAATGATGCTATCGAACGAGATTGTAATGATTGAGGGATGCTCAGAGCGTTTGTAGGGAAAGAAGGTTAATGATAAGGATATAACAGGCTTTGCGTACAAGGGCTATGTAATCACATAAGCCGAGTCGTCGCAGCACCTGACTCCCGCGTAAATCAGCTCTAAGGAAAGTTCGTAAAGATTGTGGAGCTGAAAAGCTGCAGAGCTGCATAATATGGCCCCCTAGCGAAAGACCAATCCTAATTTATACAATAGAAAACACAATGGTGGTAGATGGAGGGTTTATGGAAATCTGTTAGGCAAATTGTATGGACAAGGGAATTCACTCAAGGGAATTCACTTTAAAGGATTCACTTTAATATAATAACAACTGTATTAAGGATATTAGGCGAAAGTGAAGGAGACTAGCTTTTTCAATAGTGTTTATATAAAACCTACTATTTCCCTCATTTAACTAGTTCCTTAGATTGAATATAAATAGATATTTAGGGGCCTATATATAGTAGGAACTATGTCTTCTGTATCTTTTTCAAATTAATATTAATTAATGATATTACAAATTACTTACTTTATTTATTCGAAATACCTTTTTACTTTTACTTCCTGTTATTAGTATTATAACGTTTCGGGCAAGTATTAATGCTAATTTTAAGCAAGCCGGCAAGAAACCTGATCCTGATAAAAAACCCGATATTGGTAAGAAATTGGTTTTATTCAATCAATCTATTGGTATAGGAGGGTATATCGATATAACGATTGATAGTACTGATTTTTTATAAGTAGGTTTCAGCATTTCTCTTTATAAAGGTTTAAATATAACTAATGTTTCTTCTTATTTTCAATCTACTGCTCCTTTTAATCTTTATGTTTCTCCTGATAAAGTATCAATTGAAGAAAGAAAAACTTAGGAAATTAAGGATTTGAAATTTAAAAGAGAACTTCAGAATTATTCTTTTCCAAAAGATTTCAATAAAGCCAGGCAATTCTATAAAGGATATGTGTTCAGGTTGAAAATGGAGTATTAAACTAATAAATACTTTCTTTTTAGAATAACTGTGTATTCGAATATGGGGGTTATTAATACACCTTTTCAGGATACAGTTATATCCGATTTCAAGTATGTTTATAAAAGTATATTAAGGAATGTTGATAAGCTGATATTATATAACTTTTATATAATCTTATGATATTATAAAGTTTATGTTGATATTAATATAAATATCAAAAACGTTTTTATGAAAATATTTGCTTATAGTAAATATTACAATTAAATTACAAATCAATTTCTGGAATATCAGATTAATAAAATTCAATTATTTGTATTGACAAAATGAACTTATTTCTCTATCGAATTCAATTTGAGACTATAAACCGAATCTCCTGAATCTCAGGATAGTAATACGACTGGTTAATAAACTTTATTAAAATCTAGCAAAGTTACAGGTAGCTCAATAATAGGAAAACCAGCTTTATTCTAATTTCTATTTCAATCTGGGGATGTACGAAATATATCTTTATTAGGTTCTAGAATTCTATTGGTTAATGTTTTTACAGGATCACCTAATAATAATAACAATTCAAATAATAATAATGATGGTGATTGGGGTGGTGGCCGAGGTGGTAGAGGTGGTAGAGGTGGTGGTAGAGGCGGTGGTAGAGGTAATGGAAATAGGGATTATTATAATTATCCTAATTACTGGGAAGATAATTAATGTAATCAGAGCTGTTGTTTTATTGATTTTTTTAAGATCTACAAAAATGATAATAGATATAAGAATATCAATAATTCTTTTTAATTGAAAATCTCTATATTTGCAGAGTATTACTGTAGGGTATTTATATTAATCAAGATAATTTTAATAGCTTTTCTGATTATACTCTATCACGGTCAATCCGTGTAAGGGCTGGCGAGGGCATATGAATAGCCCCTGCGGGGCTACTTCAGGCTAATACCAATCCGTGTACAATTATAAATTATAGAATTTTTATAGTTTAAAAGAATTAATAAAAAGTTTTTGTATTATATTATATTTAATTAATTTATTATTATTATTTATTTTAATAATTTTTTTTATTTCTTTATATAGAGTAATCTGTTAACTATTTCTTAGTTGAGTAATTATTGATATTATTATAATTTCAATAAGAAGAATATCTATTCCAAGAGGAAAGCGGGATATCTATAGTACAATTCAAAACTAATCCAATAAAATTATTAATCAATTCCTGTAGAGTATTGGTAGCAATACCTATTTGGCCCAATTATATTCTTTTGGTGATAATGAGGATATATTATTGGTTTAATAATTTAAAGAAATAAAAGAAGAAATGGTAGTTATGAAAGAGGCTTACAGAATGGTTATAGATTGTATTTTATATACAATTATTCTGATCGAGTATAATTAATCTGTAGTTGTACTGAATGTAATCTATTAGGGTATTAATCTTGATTAGGGAAAATTATTGAAGTTGTAGAAATTGAAACAATATGAAGGAAAGAATATCAAGAAAATTAAAAACTTCTTTTTTCAGGCAGAAATCATATTTCAAAATAATAATGAGTATTATTTTCCTATTGATATTAAGAAAATAGAATATATCATCTAATATTTTGAATGGTAGTCTCTAGTGATTTGGTGTCGGTATATGAACGAGTCAAATTATAAAAAAATGAACTGGGAAAACTTCAGGGAGTATATGTATAATATTATTATAAACAAAGGAATTAGATAGTAATGAGTAATCCAAAAGATTGTGTATACAAAACAAAAAGAAAAAGAAACTGTGAATGTATTCGTAATCTATCTAGAAGGCTTTGAGGAGGATATCGAGTAGGAGGCAGAAAGTATTCAAGTCAAAAGACTTTTAGTAGATCTACTATCTAATATAGTCAGAAAAATATCGGAATTCTTACAATAACCTGAATCGTACAATGAGTTTATAAGACAAATCTGTAAACTAAAAAGTGTAAAGAAATTATTTCAAGGAAGAGATATAAGGGATTTATATCAATCCTATAAGCATAATCAATTACCCTTTCAATATCGAAATTCATCTAAACACCCCTATCTAAAAAATAATCCGATTCTAACTATTAAAATAAAAATTCAAAAATCAAATTAACTCTTTCAAAAAGAATTCTTCAAGATATCAAAACATTCCGTCAATATATTATATATAGAGTATATATAAATCGCTATATATTATAAATACTAATAAAAAGAGCATATTACTTCAAACTATCAAAACGACTTTGTATGTAGACATTGTGGGGGAAAGTATAAAGAAAATGAGTGTCAAAATAATCCTTCTAAAACTATTTGTATAGAAAACGTCTAGATTTAGTAATTATAATAAGTATTCTATTAACACTGGGTTTATATAAAGAAGGGCAAACAATTTTTATAATTATAACAATCTTTAATAACAACAGCAAGCTAATAGTATTCCAATATCTTATCAATTCGGGAGTACAAGTTAATATTATATAGCAAAATAAGTATATCGAATAGGACTGAACCCTTACTAAGAAAAGCACTCCCCTTATATCAGCAAATGATACTGCAATTATGTTGTATAGGGATTATAAATTCTCTATCAAAATAAAAGATGAAAAAGGGGAAAAGAGAATTTATACTTATAACTTTACATTAATAATACTGAACCTATTATGGATAGATACCATTCTAGGTTTCTTATAATTATAAACAATTAACCCTGATATCAATTGGAAATTAATATCATTTCGATATTATTTTATCTTAAGTAATCTCGAAATCATTTTTATAAAAAAATTTTATTGAGAAATAAAGGAAAGCAAAGCAATCTTTATAATCTTTCTAAATAAAATGGTTTTGTAATTAAAAATAAAAGGGGGTTATTTAATATTTGTATTAATTTTATATAAAATATTAAAAGAATTTCAGAAATACAAAAAGGCTTTTTTGAAAAACAAAAATAGTCTTTTGCTTGAATATCATTTAATAAAATATTGTATTGACCTCAAACCTGATTCGACCCCCCTTTGGGGCCTGATTTATTCTTTATTAAAAGAAAAATCAGTAATATTATAAGAATATTTAAATAAATATTAAAAAAAAGGGTAGATAAGAAGATCTATTAGCTTGATAAAGGTACTTATTATATTCATTCCAAAGAAGGAGAAAGACTATCAATTATATATTGACTATCGAGAGCTTAATCAAATTATTAGAAAGAATCAAACCCCTCTATCTTTTATTAATAAATCTCTAGATTGATTTTGATAAGATATTATATTTACTAAACTAGACTTACGGGATGCTTATTATCAAATTTATATAAAAGTGGGGGATAAGTGGAAGACTATATTTTGCATATGGTATGGTTAGTATAAGTATAAGGTAATGCCTTTCAACCTTACCAATGCCTTTGCGATATTTCAGATATATATCAATCAAACCTTATTCAATTTAACAAATAGTATTTATATAGTATATTTTGATAATATTCTAATCTATTTAAGAAATAAAGCTATGTATATAACAAATATCCAAAAGGTCCTTATATAATTTATTAAATACAAGCTTTATACAAAGCTAAAAAAATATATTTTTTATACTAATAAGATAGAATTCCTGGGATATATCATTTCATTTGCAGGTATTATTATGGAATCAGATTATATTCAAACTATAATAAAATGGCTAATACCCAATAGCCTTAGAGATATATAGATATTTCTTAGTTTCGCAAATTTTTATTAATGGTTTATTAGAATCTACTCGGCGATGGCTTATGATATAATTGTATTGTTAAAGGAAACAAAAAAAAGAAAAATAGTGGTTGAATTTAAGTAGATTAATAAAATACAAAAAATATTCGAAGTGTTAAAGAAAGTCTTTATATT